ACAGCAGGGATGAAGCAACAAGTTTTGACAGTGGTTTAACTGAGACAGCAGGGATGAAGCAACAAGTTTTGACAGTGGTTTAACTGAGACAGCAGGGATGAAGCAACAAGTTTTGACAGTGGTTTAAATGAGACAGCAGGGATGAAGCAACACATTTTTACAGTGGTTTAACTGAGACAGCAGGGATGAAGCAACAAGTTTTGACAGTGGTTTAACTGAGACAGCAGGGATGAAGCAACAAGTTTTGACAGTGGTTTAAATGAGACAGCAGGGATGAAGCAACACATTTTTACAGTGGTTTAACTGAGACAGCAGGGATGAAGCAACACATTTTTACAGTGGTTTAACTGAGACAGCAGGGATGAAGCAACAAATTTTGAAGTTGAGAAAACTGAGACAGCAGGGATGAAGCAACAAGTTTTGACAGTGGTTTAACTGAGACAGCAGGGATGAAGCAACAAGTTTTGACAGTGGTTTAACTGAGACAGCAGGGATGAAGCAACAAGTTTTGACAGTGGTTTAACTGAGACAACAGGGATGAAGCAACAAGTTTTGACAGTGGTTTAACTGAGACAGCAGGGATGAAGCAACAAATTTTTACAGTGGTTTAACTGAGACAGCAGTGATGAAGCAACAAATTTTTACAGTGGTTTAACTGAGACAGCAGGGATGAAGCAACAAATTTTTACAGTGGTTTAACTGAGACAGCAGGGATGAAGCAACAAATTTTTACAGTGGTTTAACTGAGACAGCAGGGATGAAGCAACAAATTTTTACAGTGGTTTAACTGAGACAGCAGGGATGAAGCAACAAGTTTTGACAGTGGTTTTAACTGAGAGTTTATTCACACTAGGGAAGTGGGTCCTGTAAGGATGTATGTACAATTTGTATGCTAACAAACAAAAAGAAAATGTGGAAAAATATGTTACACAGTAACTAAACAGATTGCATAAAAAGAATAAAAATAAATAAGAAAACAAATATACAGAAAACAAATATTTTAAAATGTAGTTTTTAAAAAATAGTATCTACAAGTGAGCTTAGTGATAGAGTGATTGTTATGAAGCAGAGATTAAAAAAAAAAAAAATTTCATGTTTTTATCCCAACCCATCATGTCTAAAATACAGTTTATTTTAATTAAACAAATGTATAAACATTTGATTTGTTGATGTGAACAATTTATAAAATATACATTTCATAAGCTATACATTTAACATCAAATTTTGCCATTAAAAAAACTCAACATTTTTAAGCACCAACTCATTAAATTTACATCCAAGCCAACCATTATCTTTATACTTCTCTTTACCTTCCCTACATTTAGCTTTACAAAATGTTGACTGCATAAACATTTTTTTTCATATATTAAAGAGCTTTCTCAAGGCTTGTTCTCTTCATATCTTTAAATAAAATATCACACTTCTAAAAATATGAATCCTCATCAAAGGTTATATAACAGCAAATATTTTAACAGCTATATTTATATCAGCTTATTTAGAAAAATTAATGTACAGACTTAAATATTTTGAAATTAATAAATCACACTATAGAAACACTTGTTATGTAAGTTTATATGTATGTAATTAGCTATGCTGAGGAAAAGAAACTGATAATAATGATGTCTCAGATACTCCTTAATGTTTTAGCACCAGACTATTGCAGTACATTGTAATTATATTTTTATACTTGCAAAACCTGCATATCATTTGTACATGAGATAAATTACTAAATATTTATATAATAACCTATTTTAACCAGAAATTATTTTTTTAGTTTAATAGGCGATTAAGTCAAAAGATTATCAAAAGTATTATAAAATTATATAGTGCATACATTTCTAAATCAAAATATAAAATAGTGTTAATATAATGTAAGGGAAATAACTTATTCACAAATATTTTAAATACCTTTGAGTTCTTTCTCTTTTTTTTTTTTTGAAAATGGCCAGCTAAATACTTGTGTCAAAATTCTGACAACATAAACATAGTTTTTCTAAAAAAAAAATACCTTTTGGTTAAAGAAAATACGGTAAATTGGCTCTAGCAATTATTAACATAATTACGTATTTAAATGACTTAAAATATGAAAATAATTTTGCAGTCAGTACTGTTTCAAGAAACTGTATTTGGCCTTTTAAATGGAATGATGAAAATATTGATTGCCATTTAACATAAAACAATCACAAATATCAAATAAACCCTTTGAGCAAGCCCTACTTTAAATATAGATGTATATCGAATAATTCTATATTGCAATTCCTGCAAACTTAAAAATGTTTTTGAAATTTTGTTGTATGGTAATGCATTGCCCCAGTCTTACCACACATTGCACTGATAAATAAACAATCACAACTAGTCTCTGACCACTCACAATAAAACTTGGTGAGCGGACACTAAAGTTTACAGTCCATTCAAATTTAAAACTTCAACTTCATACACAGAGCCCAACTCATCACTTCAGGATAACATGGCTTCACATGTTTTTTACAGCCAGCTTGTTATTCTAAGGTGATGAACTGCATCATCTTTTTATTTAAAACATTTTTATCAAAAGTAAAAAAAAATATATATCATAGTTAAATTCACAAAGTTATGTAAAAAATATGTGTACTTGTAGATTTAAAGAATTGCTTCTTTTTGTATAAGGAGGTATGACTGAGCCTTACGTACGTATACAGGGCTTGACTGAGCACATGTGTTTTTGTACACTGAATTAAAAGAGATTTGGTGAACAAAAATTTAAGGTACAAAATAAAATGTACAAAATTGATAACTTAAGGTTTAAACTGAAAAAAGAAAATATTGTGAGCCTTCACCAGACTGACTTAAATTGAGGCTAACTTACAAGGTTGTGGAATCATAAAAAATGGGTTCCTACACTTAGCTCTGTATTATAGACAAGAGCTAATGATAGGCTAAACAAAATTAATTTTGTTATTAATTAACATTAGAAAAAAATCCACTATTGAAGGTGAAACTTATTAAAAAAAACTTTTTTTTTATCTGGACCAAGACAATCTGGCAACATGAAATCTTAAATCTGGCATTTCCTTAAAATTGTTGAACTGACATGATCTCGTAGAAGTAAAAAGTCAGGAAAAAGCAGGTTCAATAAGAGCTTAAAGCTACTGGACCAATATACCAAATTAATTATCAACACAGGATATATTACCTATATCAGCCTAGATTTTTGTGTTGGTTTATCCTTAAATGTCATAGAAAATATTTCTACATAAATATAGAAAGCTGAATATTATATTACAAAAACATTACAAAATATGAACTAATAATGAAAATTAGCCATACGAAAGCTACACTAATGATAGATGAGTCACACCCAGATAGTAATATCAGAGCTCAGATACTGGACAGTCAAGGCTGCCCAGTCCATCAACTGACCACACAAACTTTCTAGGCTTAACACATGTATAGAGCAAGATGATTCACTACAGATGGAGGAATGTTTGACTAGAATCACTTGGCAAGGGAGATAACAGCTTAAATATGAGCACAAATAAAAATCTAATTTCAATATGATGAAAACAAATCTCATTTGGCCAGATTGTCCTGAAGGAATACTACAAGTTTCACCCATGAGTCTGCTATTAGAACTGCCTTAAATAACAAAACTAGTATACAAAAAAATACAATTTCTATGTGAGAAAAACAGTAAATAAATTTCAGTAATATTACAATTTAACAGTATTTTTTTTAGACCTCAAGGATGAACATGTTAAATCAGGAAGAATAGGACAGTTTGAGGTCTAGCAATTGCACTGAGTAAAAAAAATTAACAAAAGAAAACTTTTGTTATCTTAACATTAAAGTAAAAAATAAGTGTCCTGAAAATGTGATCTAATTAACATAATTACAGGACACTAAATAAGAAAAAAGTAATTAAGTACATTAACCCTAAAGCAAAATGACTAATGATGAGAGATATTAACCCTTAGCCCTACAAATTATTGCATTTGTATAAAATGTTTAGATCTATCTTGTCAAAAACCTGCTGTCTCTGTTTAATCCAATGTTTTGTTCAAAATCTTGAAATAAGAACATTTTATAAAAAGTCCCATGTAAATTATTTAGTTAAATGCACAAAAAAGTTGAGATAAAGGTCATATCATTGTTAAAGGGTGGAGTCACCTCAAATTAATGTAAGTTATTTAGAATATTTATAAAAATATAGGTTGCCTTTACATGGATATAAAACTATATTAAAATTATCAATATCATTATTGAATTTATAAACCAATTACAAATAAAAAACAAAAAATTTTTAGACAAAAAAATGAGCGATGTATTTTCTAATTTTTTAAGAAAGAAATTATTCCTATACTTTATGTCTTGTTTCACTTTACTTTTGTTATTTATAAAGCTCTTCAAAATGTATAGACTTAGTAGTATCTTTTTCGACAAATATTTGATAAATAGATGCACTAGTATCTTTTTACAATTAATATTTGAAAGTGAGCCTATATTTAATATATAAATTAACTCTTCTTTAACCTGTAGATCTAAAAAAAATCTACTATAGCACTTGGTACCTGGACAATAAGTTAATAGGCAATAAATATGAAAAAAAAAATATATGTAATATTAAAAATTATATAGTTTAAGCTTAAAATAGTGCTGAATTATTTTTGAATAAATAAATTCAAATACACAATTGTTCAACATACCACCACAGGTAGATTATTTTAAGCTGCTGTCAACTTAATTTAAAATTTCCTAACAAATTTGGCTGCTTTTCAACTATTATACAATAAAGACAAATGTTAACATTTTAAGCTTTTGCAGCCTTAAAAAGTTATTTTTAAACAATTTTTTTCAATGACGTTTTTCTAGATTCACTGCCCAACAATCACAAGCAGAAACTTTCTAAAACCCACTCATTTGTAAGCTAACCCAAACAGTTTCAAGGAGAGAAAATGCGAAGACATGCCATTTTCCTGCCTAGCTGTTTTGTGCCAACAATTGGATTTTCTTTTTTATACCTAAATAAATTTTTTTAAATATGACTCATTGACAATCTGACCCAAACTGACCATAAATGTTCCCAACACCTAATTCTGTTTCTAAATGAAGTTATTTAAATTTTTTATTAAATACTTCAGATACAATTTTTAGAGGTGATAAATGTAAAAAATAAATTCAATGCAATAAAAGGTTTAGTGTGATGAATATATTTGTGGAATAAAAAACTACTTGGCCTAGAACAAAGCAACAATATGAAAAAATGTATATTATTCTTATCATATGTTGTCAAAAATAGTAAAAAATCAAAACTAACTTGATCGATGAACATTACAATTATTAATGTAACAGTGAACCTGTGGCCTTAAGATCTATATTTTAAAAAATACAAGATTTAAAAAAATCATTACATATCAAGTATAAAGTATACATTAGGATAAAATCACAGAAATGAATTCATATGACATCAGACAAATATCCCTGCCCATATCTGTCATGAACTGAATAGCTAGCACATACCCCGCCAACAACTCGCATCAAGGAAGTAGTTTTTTCACAACAAAACCAAAAAATAAAATAGCTATATGTAAGTGAATAATTTATATACAATATACATTTATAAATAGACATAACACATGAGAATAAATGTGATTTTTACAATTTTGCAGGTTGATAAATAATTTTCAGAGACAGTTTGTAGCATCTGCTTGAGTGAAAAAATGGCTGCTGGCTTTACCATGGCAGAGTGTATTGCAATGTTGGCTATTGCTGTTTGCAGTTACCTTTGTCCTTCTTATCACCACCTGCTGAGTTTTGTTTGCGTGACTTGTTGCGGATTTTGCCGTCTGTTCGCCGCTGACCTTGAACTGGCTGCCACACAGACATAACAGGCTCCGCCCCTAAAATATTGGCTTGACCTATCGATCCACCCCCTGAAGGATCTGGGGAAATAATTTGAGGAGCCAATTATGTGTATGTTTAGTTCTAAAAAATTTAAGTCATACACGTGCAGCATTTGGTTTATTTTAATTATAAAAAAAAATAATGCTAACTGTACACTTTAAAAAATGTGCTCATGTTTGAATTAAAATAAACAGCAATTTAAAAACTATTTTTTTAGCCAATTTTAAAAATTAACATTTAAAAAAATTAGAAGCTGTGTTCTAAAAAGATTAAGTAATAAGATTAAAAATGTTTGAATTCAATGTTAAAGAATAAATAAGTTGGATATATTATATGATAATTTTAATGATATAATGTACTCATAATCTAATTTCTAAAGATAATTTTTGAATACATAACAATACTACTACTGAAATATATATGTACATTTTTTGACTATATTTTACACTTTCACGATTAAATATTATTTATATACTCAGTATACTGACTGTAGCAAATAAATGATGATAAAAAACTGGAGTGAAATAACACTGACCTTGGTAGCCGTGTAATGGTGCTTTAGTTTTTCTTAAACTTCCCCGGAGCCCAGGGTCCCATTCTAGCTCTCCGTCTGGGGATAAGACAAGACTACAATGACCTCACACACACTAAAACTAGCCACTGTTTATACTAAATACAGAACTTATGTATTCTATATTCTACTGCCCAGCAATGTATAGGTTGACTGACTTTTGGTTTTGCTACAATGCTGGGTACCCACCATAGCTGGAGGAACTTGAAGACATCTAAATTAAACATGTTAAAAAATCTATGAACTCTACTACACAACCAAGATTTAGTCTAGCTATCACGTCATAAATTAAATTACCCTATTTCATTATAGTCTGTATATTTTTTGGCCCAAAACTTGACATGGAAAATCATCAATATATTTAATGACTAAATAGTGGTAAAATTAAAACTGACATAGTATCATGCAGTTTAAAATAAGTTGAAAGGTGATTAAACTAATGATATAATAGAATAATGGTGAAAATCATGACATCTGTTATAATCAATGATTTCAGTCATAGAACATATCCAGTAACAATGTTCCTACATTCTACACAGTAAGTTAAAAAGTATTTGATAAGATTAGTTATAATTTTGTGATTAAGACTAATTGTACTAAAACGTACCGCATAAATTAGTTGGATTGGATATTCCAAACAGGAAATGGATGTTCTTTATGGAAAATACTTCTAAACTATTAAAAAAATTAGTTTAACATGGGATTTAGGATATAAATATTAAAGTTAACCATAACTGCTGGTGGGTATTTGTTATCTCTTGTTAATGCTTGTTATATTATGAGAAATGATGTTAGCCAAATGATATTAGTTATGGTAATTAGTTCCAATGGTAGAGTTAGCCATAGCTTCAATGCTCCCAAAAAACCCACAGTTAACGAATTATTACCATCTACACACCAAACACTGATCTAGTGGAAATCTCAAACCTCTTTTAGTGCATCCTTCATCAACTCTGTACCCTATACCTCACTGGTCAAACCCCACAGAAATTTTTCAACAACTCTACCTGCCCTGCGATTAGAATTTCTCTCTTAGACTGTCAAAAAAACTCCTCACCCGCTTGAGGTAAAGACCGTGAAAAAGGTATATGAGTTTTGAGCTGTGTCTCCTCAGTGAAGGCTGCATCTGGGTACCTTCTCTTATAGGTGGGGTCAATAGCAGCAGCGATATTAAACCCTGCGGAGCCATTAGGATAGGACCCACAGGGCGGGCTGAGATGTGGTTAAAAAAAGTCGGACATTCATTAGATAAAAAAAAATTAGTTCAAATAATCATTGTTTTGTGTTAATTTAATTTTTCAAAAGAAAACAAAAGATTTAAACCACAATTCTGTTGCTGATTTAAGTATTATGTTAAATAAAACAGGTGTAAATTAAAGAAACAAATAAAAAAAGTAGTTGAGGTTTTTTTTTTAAAACAAAAGGTTTGTTACTTTTTTAAAAAATGTTATAAAAAAATTGAGAGACTTCATGGTTTTTTAATTGAAGAGGCAATTTAAAGAGCAATAATTAGGAGTAGTTTGGTTTATTCTACAGATGTTTGCCCTGGGTGTAATTGGGCTGGGTTGGCCTGGTTGTGATTTTTAGGGCTGGGTTGGCCTGGTTGTGATTTTTAGGGCTGGGTTGGCCTGGTTGCCAATCATGCAAGGACAACAGTGAACCATCACCACTAGGTTTGTTAAAGCCTTGTCCCATACAAAGTGACATGACATATCAAGAGTTAGATATAAGTGTGGAGATAACTTTAACATAGGGTTGAGGAATGGAGGAGGAGAATACAAATTTATTTATAGCTCAACCAACTTGGATAGTGCATACAAATATTTCATTTTTTGAATTATTTTGTTTTAACCATTCGGTGAAGAAGCCACTTTATTATATAGATAAATATCAAGCTAAATGAAAACTGACAGGCAAGATATAGAATAAAATTAAATGGTGCATCAAACAAATATACTTACTCATCCTCTTCATCACTGTAATAACTTCCAGATCCTGACCTTCTCTGCTGGGGTTGGTACTGGTGCGGCTGACCTTTAACCTGGTGACCTGCAGCACCCCCCTCTTGTGAGGATAACCATTTGAGAACCTCTGTATCATCAGAGTCCCTCAGCTCTGGACCCAGCGCGTACGCTGGGGTCTGCTGTACCCGTCGTGGGTCCACGCTGGAACCAACGGGCCAAGACGGGTTGCCTTGGTGACTGTGGGCGCGGATAATATCCATGGTATTGCCAGAAATATCCCGCTGGGCCGTGCGCTCCATCTGCGCCCCGGCTCTTTCTTTCTGTACGTTTATAACATTCTGCTGTGCTGAGTTCTGAAGGGCTAGGATTCTCTCAGGATCACCTGCAGCGATGCGCCTGGCCGACTCTAAAGTGGACATGCCGCCACCAGGGCCTATGTAAGCTGACCTGGGACTGGACTGAGGCGAGGCAAGTGGTGGCGCCATCTGTTGCTGGGCCTTGATGTACTGCTGTTGATTGTGGACTGAACCTGGGGCAGACACAGTGCTCTGGGCTGAAGCGTGTCTGCTAGTGTTTTGATTACTTTTGCCAGAAGAGAGCTGGGCTGGGGGTTGAGTTTGGGGTGGGGATGGGGGCGTGTCAAATGCTTGTGTGTAGCTATTCCTGCGGTAACGATTGTGACCCCCGCTGCTGTTGCTGACTGTGACAGAAGCTGAGGCTCCGACTGGAGGAGATTCTTGCAGACGCAGCTGGTTGAATGTATTGGCAGAAGCTCCAAGGGGCAGAGACTCTGCAGATTGCTTCCTCTATAAAAAAAATAAAGTTGCATATAGTTTTTTCACAGAACAAGTGTGGCAAAAAAGACCAACTAATTAACAACACCATGAAATGAATCCATAATTTAAAAAAATGTTGGTGTTAGCATGCACAAAGTGCTGTTCAGAATATATAAGTGTTTGTTGTACAATAAACTTTATATGTAGCTTAACTTTTTCTGTCAGAACCAAGATAAACTTTTTTTCTTTCAGAACCAAGACGTACTCCTCCAGCAAACATGATCTAGAAAGAGCAGAAGAAAGCACACAACTCTACCTGAGCTTCCTTCTTCTGTTGATGTTTCAGCTTAGCCTTCTTTAATCTCAGCTTCTCCTGTTCCTGCATCACCCGGGCCAGCTGCTCATCTTGTTGTTCTATTTTCCGCAGTTTGTCCTGATCAACTTCTGCTTTTGTTCTCTAAAACAATAAAGCCTTTAGTTATTTTATGAAACCTTCAGAAATTTACCAGCAGCAAACTTGGTGCCTCAAGGAAACATTTATTAACTATAATCTAAAAGTGATTAATAAGGCATACCACCTTATGCTCTTGTTCTTGTAATAACCTAGCCAACTCCTGAAATAAATTAGAGAATTCTCTGTATTTTACAGTAAGTGTGATTTCTGTTTATTTATCTGAACATAGTATAAAAAATATGAAACTATATTTATTGCAACTGATAATATATAAATTCTGTGTTGCGAAAAATGAATTATGAGAGGAGAAGAAAGGACAGAAGTTGATACAAATTTAAAGTTAAATTTAACTTAAAGATAATTTGCAAACAACTTTTTCATAAGTAACAAGAAAGCATACATCATGAACCTGAAAGAGGAGATACTACCGTATTTGAGTTAGTCAAAGATCAGGGTATTTGAGTTAGTCAAAGATCAGGGTATTTGGGTTAGTCAAAGATCAGGGTATTTGAGTTAGTCAAAGATCAGGGTATTTGAGTTAGTCAAAGATCAGGGTATTTGGGTTAGTCAAAGATCAGGGTATTTGAGTTAGTCAAAGATCAGGGTATTTGAGTTAGTCAAAGATCAGGGTATTTGAGTTAGTCAAAGATCAGGGTATTTGAGTTAGTCAAAGATCAGGGTATTTGGGTTAGTCAAAGATCAGGGTATTTGAGTTAGTCAAAGATCGAGGTATTTGAGTTAGTCAAAGATCAGGGTATTTGAGTTAGTCAAAGATCAGGGTATTTGAGTTAGTCAAAGATCAGGGTATTTGAGTTAGTCAAAGATCAGGGTATTTGAGTTAGTCAAAGATCAGGGTATTTGAGTTAGTCAAAGATCAGGGTATTTGAGTTAGTCAAAGATCAGGGTATTTGGGTTAGTCAAAGATCAGGGTAATTGAGTTAGTCAAAGCTCAGGGTATTTGAGTTAGTCAAAGATCAGGGTATTTGGGTTAGTCAAAGATCAGGGTATTTGAGTTAGTCAAAGATCGAGGTATTTGAGTTAGTCAAAGATCAGGGTATTTGAGTTAGTCAAAGATCAGGGTATTTGAGTTAGTCAAAGATCAGGGTATTTGAGTTAGTCAAAGATCAGGGTATTTGAGTTAGTCAAAGATCAGGGTATTTGAGTTAGTCAAAGATCAGGGTATTTGAGTTAGTCAAAGATCAGGGTAGCTACAAAAGAAAACAAGTTTTTCACCTCATCTTGACAGGCTTGAATCTCCAGTCTAGTCAGCTCATCCATCTCAGGCGGCAGATTGTAGAAGTCACTGAAATCTCCGTCATCCTCTATACGACCTGAAGGGGTCACCCTGATCAAAACAAAACATTTAGTGATAATATTATTTCCTCTGGCTTAATGATGAATTTTTGTATACTTTTAATATGAAAAGAATATTAGAAAATGATAGACACTAAAAATAAGCATGTTATTTGGATTATAATATTATCTCATCATCAATATTCCCATCTGATAACAAGTTTACTTTGGATAAAATTTATTAAAATCATGAGTTGGGGATTTAAAATAATTCTCTTTAAGTAATTAAGTAACATAAAGTTACATTGTTTAAATTGTGTTAGTTTGTTAAACCACAACATGCAACAACAATCAGAAAAAAAAAAGAAATCCACATGCAGAAAGAAGAAAATGTTTTTATACAGTTTTGACCAACTCACAAATAATGAAAAATATTTAGTCCCTACAAGACTATAAAACAGGTTTAACTAAGCATAGCCTCTTCAACAAGCTAACATTAAATTATGGGTGTACTAACAGCACAAGATAAGACTAGTAATATCAGTCAAGTTTTTACTTTTAATCTTATTAACACATTTATTTAGGGAGCTTTATATATTAGTAAACCAGAGGTCAGTCAGGAAAACAAAACAGACACAAAAGCAGTGCGTTGTTAGTTTGCCAAAACAGACTGGGGTCATTAAGTTGTTTACAGACTTTGATTAAAGGTTTAGTAGTTCACCAACATAGAGGTTTAAGTCAGGTAACTCAAAAAAGCCCACAAATGTGTTAGTTTTAAAATTACAGAGGGTATGCTGTGTATTTCTATTCAGAAATATGCTGATAAAAAAATAATTCTATTTTCAACTAATGAATTGAAAGGTATGAAAGATAATTAGAAAAGAATGCAATAAACTTACTGTATACATATCTTAAAAAAAAGAGCTTAAAAATATAACAACAAATAGATGAGAAGGGCATGACACAAACAATATTTCACTTCAAATAAAGCTTTATATCATGAGAAATGAAGAAAATCGTATGAAGTATTTTCACAAATTCCAAAAATGAACGTTTGTTGTAGTTATTTTATTTAAAAAAAAAAACACTGACTGTATTGTTCATGTAGTTAAAATTTTAATGTTTCTTCTATGCTTTAAAATTTATTACAGACATAACTCATGCAAAAATGTAACAAAAAAAAAACAACAATCATGGATATGGTAGTCCATTTTTTGCAGGTGAGCAATGAATGAAGTGCAATGAGTTAGTGGTTAGCACACTACAAAGCCACAATACCTGGACCTGTACCTAGTGGCATTCACGCCTTGCAGGCTGAGGTTTTCAATGCTGTCAGCAACACGATCACTCCCAGCATCTGATTAAAAAACAGGAGCTTTGGTAATATACCTGGCATGTTTAAGTAACAACATAACCAATAAACCACATGAATGGTAACAACGAGAAACAATTTTCCCACACATACCACATGAATAGTAACTATGTGAAATAATTAGCCCACACAAACCACATGAATGGTAACTATGTGAAATAATGTGCCCCAACAAACCGCAGGAATAGTAACTATGTGAAACAATCAGCCCATATAAACCACATGAATAATAACAATGTGAAACAATTAGCCCACACAAACCACATGAATGGTAACAACGTGAAACAATTTTCCCTCACAAACCGCATGAATAGTAACTGTGTGAAACAATTTGCCTGAGAGCTTATTGACATTACAGATCTACACCACCTTTTTGTTCCTTGAACACATATCCCCATGGTTTACTTTTGTTTACTAATTTTGGCTCAAAAGTTGAAGAATGATTCACACATATGAAAAAGATTAAAGTTATATAGAACAAAGTGTATGGCGTAGACATAGCAATTTTTTTTAAAACTTACCTTTTTGAACAAAACACAAAAAATGTGCTTTTACCTTTGATTGAACATTAAATTAAAATTTCATCCCCAGATAAGAAAGGAAGTAGAAAAAAATGAGAGTAAAACAGAAAAGGAAGTTCTAGCAAAATGGCACCTGAATTGAGGACTAGCCTGGCCTCCTCTGTGTCTCTAGCTAGTTGTGCCTCCAGCTGTTGTCTTTCTAGCTTGAGTTTTTTCTCTCTCTTCTTCTCCAAGTGCCTTTCATACCTCTTCTTCTCTTTTTCTTGAAGTTGCCTTGCTAGTTCCTACAATATATTTTGTTATCACTTAAATTTTAGTGCACATAGTATAAAGTTGGTTGTCTTGGTCCTTTTATACACCCATTTTAGAATTAGATTAAGGACAGATTAACCTAATTAACTGTGGTAAAATTAAAGCTTGTTGTACTTAAAATGCATTATTTTTAAAACTGGATTTGCTTATGCTTAGTGAGTGCTGTGTTTTTTGTACAAATTACAGTTGATGGGAGATATACTATTATGAGCTGTTAAAAGCTGTCACCCCCAAAACATATTTCATACATATTTTCAGATTTTTGTTGTAATATTCCCATATCCTATTAGTAATGGACAGTTGTGATGCCAGTATACAGTGCACATAGCAAATACTTATTTCATGTTTAAACTCTGCTGGAATAAAATTATTTTTCATCAAAATACAGTCAAAAAATTATATAGCTGTCCTAAACATTGAAACTGGAGAATGCAGAACAGTTTGTTAGACTTATTCTGACAAATTAGTGACATTAGAATTAGCCAGAGGGTAAATTAAAAAAATAAAGTTATGTTAAACACTTCTAATTAAATAAAATACTTGCCTCATCATCAACGGCAGCAGTGACCTCCTTCCTGGAAGATTCATGTTTCAACTGTTGCTCTATTCTCTTGGCAATCTTCTCATCTTCCTCAGCCCTACAGAATACAAAATAACATTTTTGTACTTCAAAATAACTAATATCTTAAATTATTTTACATTTTACTTACTAGCAAACGCTTTCTAACATGAATTTGATTCAAATAAAAATATCTGTAGGCCTAGTTATTTTCTTAGATAACAAGCAAGAGTATTCTGCTTTAAATTCTGTATTTTCCACATAGCTAAGTAAATATCCATTCCATAACATGCCTAAAAATATAGGGTCTGTCTTATACACTGGTAATCAGCATTTATTTTCTTACAGAATGTAAAAATCAAAATAAAGCTGCAAATACCGCAAGACACAACTCAATTTATTACCTGCCCTTGAACAAAACATATGACTTACTGGGCTCTTAGAGCAGCTAATTCCCTCAGACGCTCTTCTTGAAGCCTTATTTCTTCTTCACTTTGTACAATCTTTGCAACAGGAATATCTTGTCGTACCATTCGGCGATTATAACGATTAAGTCCATAGTGCTGGTCAACTGATGATTAAAATGTTAATTAGCATTTTAAAAAGGTATGCATAATAGGAAATACAAACTAATGTAAATAAAAAATAATATGCAGTTCTTACTTTCTTGATTTTGCATCTGGTAAGCTAGAGCTCCATCCTCGTGCACTGACCATTGTTTTCTTACTGAAAAGTAATTCATATTGTTAGGATCATTACATTGATAAATTATGCAATTATTAATAGGCTTAGATTTTTTAAAAATGTGTTTAGATACATGGGTACATGAACTCTACTTCATGGATCACTCTCTACTTCAGGTCTCACTCTCAAAGGGGAACAAGCGTAGGCCCAGCCCTGGTCTAATAAATCTTTCTTGAAAATGTGTGTATTGTGAAGAAAACATAGATCTACATTCTAAAACTGATATAAATTCTAAAATCAAACTTTATTTTAATAAATATCTGAGTAGGCATATTTTTAGTGTTTTTTTTTTTGCATAACCTAACTAGATCTATTTCAAAAATTAAATGTAGGCCCTAATCACTAATCTCAAACATCTTGAAAGACTTAGAATTTCAACTAATTTGCAAATTAATATTTTGCAAAACCATGCATATAGATCTTGTAAGAACACATTCAAAAAGACATATAAAAGGTAAATGTATTCCAAAGAAAGTAAATCTAGATTCTAGATCTAGAAAGTCTACTAAACTAGATCTAGATTTTAGATCTAGATTCTCTAGAGTAGATTTCCTCACGCGGTCAAAGCCATATTGCGATCACATTCCCGTTTTCGCTTCGTAAAATAATTGTTTGGATGCTTTATACGAAACTACCGGTATCTGCTGTAAGCATGTCCATTTCTAAATATATCCAGGTAAAATTCTTTTGTTTTCTCCTTCTGGAAGACTAGTTTTTAAATTTTTAAGTTGAGGTATGACGTCAACCGGTGATCCCAGTTCCCCCGGATGAAAGCACTAGGTCCGGGATGTGATGAATAAAACTAACCAATCAAAGCTGTTTATAATTAGGTTAACTATAAATAGCTTCTACATATGTGTGGGACACTGTAAATACTATAGCTAAGGCTACTAAAGCAACCTGAGAGGTCAAATGGGGGTGATCGCAGCTGGGCTGACGATTCGGGTCGTTTTCCTCGCTGCGTAACCAATGACTTGAGCTAGACTAGCCTAGATCTAGATGCTCTATATTTCAAGCTAAGTCTAGAATCTGTATAGTTTATACATTATTCTGTGGTTTTAAATTATTTCGATCATCTACTTCTTCTAGAACTAGTTTGTGTCTCCATATACAAGCATATCTAAGCAAATTTTAGGTTTTGTCTTGTTAGTAATTGTTACGTCCCTTTGTTATGATTATTAAAATTGCGTCCCTTGAGTTATCACTGGGTCATCCGTGATGTGTTGTTAATAAATTTAATTGAAGTGTTTTTTATTTGGTTTTGCAGTCTATTAATTAATAATACAATCAACAACACGTTTAAAAGTGTAAATTATTTATTTTAGCTTTTAAAATTGGATCAAAACGTAAAAAACTACGCTTGTTACGCAACAGGAAAATGTGACCGCCGGCAAGAAAAATAATAATCATTAAAAAAGTTTTAAAAAACCCACGTTTTCTGATTGAACTAAAAAGTAGAAAATAAATGCTATAGGCCCTACATCACAATAATGCAAGCGATCACTCTACTATAAGCGATCAAAAACGTGGGGCGCCGAAGTAAAAGTTATTGATTAGATAATACTATTGACTTTTATTAGGGAGCTTGTAGAGAGTCAACAGTATTAGAAACTGTAAGAAAATCACGGCGCCCCACGTTTTTGCTCGCTTATAGTAGAGTGATCGCTTGCATTATTGTGATGTAGGGCCTATAGCATTTATTTTCTACTTTTTAGTTCAATCAGAAAACGTGGGTTTTTTAAAACTTTTTTAATGATTATTATTTTCTACTTTTTAGTCTTTGTCTGTTTGTTTGCATTAAAATCTTGCTATCGATTTTATCTTTTCACTTTTTTTGGGTAAACGAAGACAACTCGTAAAAAGACAACTCGTAAAAAGACAACTCGTAAAAAGACAACTCGTAAAAAACACGTTGTTTGAATACGTTACTGACTAGAACACATAGATTTGAACCCGTGTCGAGTGGGATAGCAATCGTGTGCCCAACCACTCGACCATATCGTCTCCCCCAAACTGGCCTACCTCCTGTAAGTTTAAACTCGGTTCAAGCTAAATTCTCTGCCCCTAAGCCTGTGGCGACATGTGATCGTTCGCTTCACTGCGCGCGAGGTACGCGTCGCTGGTTTTTTTTCTAATGGCTAGCAGAGGAGAATTATATATATAGATTATATAGCGGTCTAAAATGCTCAATAAAATGTTTCCATTGATCAATTTAGTAATAATAACAATTGAATATTCAATGGTCATCCAAAAGAAAGCTTCCCTGAAAATTTCAGCGCGCTAGCTAACTGGGAAGTGCCAGAAATTTCGATCGCAAGATTTGATTGGAAAGACAAACAAACAAACAAAGACACAGAGAAAGCAAGTTAAAGAAAACGTGGGAAAAAGGGGAAAAAAGATCGCAAGCAGGCACGTCACTAAAACATGAATATCTCAAATACTATGCGTAGGAATACAAAATGATTTATAAATATTAGAGTAGAATGGCAGCGGAATAACACGGTACTTTCAGTTTGTTTCTGTGTGAAACGGGTACAAAATAGCGCCCGATGAAAATCGGGAGTTCGGATTTTTTTGCTATGTGTGACCGCGTTAGGAAATCTACTCTAAGTGCTTAAAAAAAAACAAAACAAAAAAACCTTCTTGCACTTTTCCTCGAGGAGGAAAGTTAGGTCCATCCTCTTTAGCTTCAGCCATATTTCACACCAACAGCGATTCAATAAACATCCGAAATAGTCTACGGGGGAAAACAGTAGCTATATTTTTTTCAGGGCATATTCAATTTGACAATAAACATAAACAGGAATAAACACTATTGACTATAAATAATATCTTTCGCTCTTCCTCGTCAAAGAAAATTTAGACAAACCGGAAGTTGTCGAATGAGTAATTAGAGTTACCCCGAAGTTGACCAACTGGTTTGTCTCCGACGTTTCGAAGCATGTAAGCAAGGTAATCTGTCACCTTACTTACAACTGCGTTTTGTCATTGACAAAAAATGCACACATTGTAGCTAGAAATAGAAGGATTTGCTCGGTTTTTTTTCAATAAACGGTTGCTTCTCTAAAGACGGTCTTACTTTTATTGTAATGAATGGAGTTATTTTCCTAATACCGAACCCACCTGTTCTTAAAAAAATTAACTCAAAACCTAACCTTTAAAAAAAAAGTATCGTCCTATATAGATTCTACATATTACTAGATCTAGATCTATATATATATATCTAAATTTTATAATATTGTATAACAGATCTGAATTTTGTTTTCTTTGTCTAAAAAGAAAAGCCAATAAGATCTAACTTTAGGAGTGGGTTGAGAAATTAAAAAAAAAAGGCAAATAGATCTATGTGTAGAAATGTGTAGTTTCATATTGGTGACAAAGACGTTTTTCTTTATTCTCTAGCTACTATTGTTATTTTGACGCCATCGTGTAGAAAAACACAATCCGCCACCTCTCCACGACACGGACATTGTAAAACATGAATCACAATCCCTTCTCACGCCCTCAACAAATTCCATGTGAGTTCATGTGAGAAAAGATAGAAAAAAACTACACACTTGAATGTGTGGATAGCACTGTATCCCGTTTTATCAACCTGTATGCGAAGTGCTGTCCTACGTCAGGTAATAGTGTGAAAAATAACCACCATGGTAACTAGAGCCCTATACACCTCTCCTGAATTTGGTGAGTAAAGTTTTCCGGTAATTAAGAGCAAAGATATTAGTATCTTGGCCTACATGTATATTTTTTTTCAATGGCAGACATTCTCAAACATGCACATTTCGACAGCCAAACCATTTTTTAAAAGTGAGAGATGCTTGACAGCAGATCTGAATGAAACCAGCAGATAAAACAAGAATGAGAAAGATGAACGGCTCAGTGTGTCCCCCCCCCCCCCCTCCAAGTTCTATGAAACTATTGATGATATCATGATATAGGCCTAGGTATTCTACAGCTGTGATTGTATGTAAACAGAGAACGATTTCTCGTGTAAAAAACAAACAACAACAACACCCCCCCCCCCCCCGTCCCTTATACCGCACCTCTCGAGCCTCAGAACTTACCCCCTCCCCCCATCACCTGAAAACCATTTTTTGGAAGCCGCCTTTCAAGTAGACTGTCTACGCATGACCTGAGAAATCTTGTTCCAAGTTGTTGACATGAGTTGACGTCTGCTAGCTCACCCCCCCCCCCCTTTCTAGCTCCTGTGTCATACTGCCGAATGGCTCGTTAAATCGTAAAGAGAAAACATGTTTATCTGGCTCGCACTACCAATTAGCCATTTTTTTTTTGTTGAGCGTAAGAGGTCAGTGATGGGGAATAGCGAACGAAAGTACTTTAATGTAGGCTATACTAGATCTAGTGCAGTGTAGGCTACACTAGATCAAGTGCTAAATTATCAAAGTCGCGAGTGGAAAGTATCTAGGAATTGTTTCGAACACGACCGTTATGATGTCATATAAATCTAACTGCTTCTAGACTAGTATTTTGCAAGTGTAGCCGGCCCATTAAACGTAGCAATAAAAAATGTATACACTGACGTATTGCGCTGAGAAAAGAAACAAAACAAAAAGGGGGGGGGGGGGGTAGTTTGTCCGGCTTACGTAGAATCCTCATATAGTACTAAAACATCGCAATTTTAATTTTTATTTAAAGGTGTACCATCCAATTCTTAAAAAACAACAAAATAAACAACCAAGAAATCATCTTACTAGTAAGTATGGTGTGTTTGTTATCTGTGCCTTACTTCGCGATAACATTCATTCTATTGTAGTGACAGCTGCTTTGCGAGCTGTATGTGTAATTTAATGAGGATTAATTGAGGGGTGTCGATTTGTAAGTCGTGACCTTATTCTTTTTACAATGATCCGTAGCCTCATTCCTTTATACAAAACACCCGTGTTTTTCTGTTTGTTACAAGTATACTAATATATTATATCTTATGTACCATTTGTTGTTGTGGTTGAGCGCACGTGAATCGTTCTGCTAGATGTTGAGCTACTGGTTTCCATATCTCATTGACAACGGCGGATTAAGCTTGCGAAAAATCCTGTCTGATGTTTAATCAGGGGCCTTGTGGCCATTGAATTACAAGATAGATAGAATACAATGTACTGGGTCACATGATTGCTGCTATATCTTCCCCCTCTCCACTCGTCGCTGGCGTAGCTATAGTAGAGGGGGGTGGTGGTCAGTGTGTTATGTGTGGTTTTAGTGTATGTCATAATACGTTACATTTTAGTAGAAGCCAAGGTACTGTGTGTTGGTGAGATGAGTTCACCCGGATGTTATTGTATTTCCCGTTCAAAGTGTGCGAGCGATTGTGTTGAGGCGACAGAAAAAACCAACAAAAAAACCAACATTGTAAACACAGTAACAAACCATTTTTTGACATGAGTTGTAGTACTTTAATAATAGCCTCAACATTGTGATGTTTTAACCAGTAAATGCTTATAACTTGTTTTTTTTATAGGACTTGTAAGTTTTAAAAAGTGGGTCACCTACTTCTCGTTTTCGCATCTCTCCATGGCCAACGAGATTCCGAATTTGAAGTGAGAGAGACCGAGACTTACAGGCCCTATAAGTAAATCGATCTTTTGAGTGATAATTACAGAAGCAAATCGACTTAGTGGTACAGTAATAAGTAAATTGACTTTAAAGTAACTTACTGAACTTGGAAGTAACTGACCTTCACTGGGAGTCACTTTTTAAGATATCCATCTAGACCTAGATAAATAATTAGTTGGTGACACCTGGTTCCTGTAGCTTTGGTACCAGTACAGCTTCATCCAGTCCGTTTAGGTATGTCAAGCTTGTTTACTACACGCAGCGTATTCCAGCTTCCCTTGAATCTTTAGCCTACTTTAGCGCGTAAATCACATCCTTCCACGTTCCACCCACCACACCACTCCACCTTCCATCCACCACACCACTCACCTTCCACCCACCATACCACTCCGCCTTCCATCCACCACACCACTTACCTTCCATCCACCACACACTACACCACCTTCCACCCACTACACCACCTTCCACCCACTACACCACCTTCCACCCACCACACCACTCCACCTTCCAAACATCACATCCTTCTGTCACACAGCCTTCAGCCACACATACTTCCACCACACATCTTTCCATACATCTTGTTTTGATAGATTTTTCTTAAGGTGCAAGCTTTCTAACGCTAGTGTGTAAAAAATTGAAGAATTTATTCGATCACGTATCAATAAAATTCACATTGGAATGTAGGATTACTGGGAGTTTGTTTTCTTTCGGAGTTGGATTTACGGGAGAAAAACGATTGAATGATTATACAATTAGACATCCAGCTCAAATGGAGTGTGAAAAAGTAAAGAGTTAAGTTCTCTTTTCGGACCTGACGCTCCATAGAGTAGATGCAGAAGAGTTCATCTGCTTCTTGACACTATCCCTTCTATATGCGTTAAGTTCACAAAACAAATACAACAAACAATAATATGCCCCCCCCCCCCAATTCTGATCATCTCACCCCTCCCACATCTACCCTCCACCCTTGCTGGAAACACGTCATTTGATCTAAAGACACAGTCGTCTTTGTTAAAGGGAAGCTATCGTGAAATTCAGATACCCGGCCAGTGTATAGCACCCCAGATATGAAAACAAGGAGCGGGATTATTCCGATACATGTATATTTGTTTTATACGTGAGCTCTCCGACGTCACGTGGGAGTGACGTTACGCGCGTGCGATTTCTCGTGGGGGTGGAGGGAGATCAAGGTCGTGAACTATACATACCATTGTTCAATGTCTGCTTATCGTGGCTGAATAAAGTGGGAAATTCTGGAAGGTGTAGGCCTATTTAGAGTACCCCCGTTACATACTTCAGTGGTCTAGAACTGTTAGAATTTTAAAATGAGAACACTATATTTTAACACGGTAAAATTTTTGTTTATATGCAGAATCTTCGACAAAACAATTACCAGGTAGGCCCTGGTACATCAAACACGACTAACATAGTTCCGCACTTATGGCTTGACGCTATGGATAGACCGACTCTATTTCCCCTACAAGATCAGGCATTCGTACCCAGACGCATTAAATTTGATAGTACATTTCATTTGGGTCGAAAAATAAAGTCAGAGCCAGCCCCCCCCCCCCCACCCCTTAATAAAAATGATGCCACACATCTACCAGTGTTTTTTCCAGACTTTTTTTCTCCGGGAGGGGGGGGGGGGGGCGGGACTAAAAAGAGATAGCTGGAAGAAACTCTGACATCTACCCATTTATGATTTTTATGGACGAGCCATTAATCTTAGACAGAAACATAACTTGAATAGGTCTCTAAACTTAACACCCAAATACAAATAGTCCTATATATTAAAAACGCAGTTTATCAACTTTAAACACCCTGTGTATCGTAGCTACAATTATTTTTTTGTCAGTCGGCTTCTTCTACCGTGGGCAGGAAACATTTTGAGGGCAAAGTTTTTGAGAGAAGGCCCATATACGTTTGTTTACCTGTTAGGGAATACCCACAGCCGACCCAGTTGTGTGTCCTTTCACGCCCAGTCAAGCGTGGAACTGGGTTTTAGAAAGCCAACCGTAACACACTTGAGTCATTGGTTACACAGTGTTAAGGTTAAATTGTGTCACTGTAACCTTGATTTGTTCCAACCGCTCTCTCTCGACCCCCCCCTTCCTTTCCCCCCCATTGAACAGCTACTCGCTATCTGGACAGATGTACACTTTTAAAGAAAAACACTGTTTTAAATACTTTTCTACTTTAAAAAAAAAGTACATTTTCAATTATTTAGAATTTAGACCATGCAGATTTTATAGCGCCTTCATTTAAAGCCGTCTTTTTTCTTTTCATGGTTTAAATATACAATCTTTCTCCTTTTTAGTTGATTATTTTAAGTCTAATTTCGCACAGATGATAACGAATGACTACGATTTCGTTAGAAAAGTTAATAAGGCCTAACATTTTGTTGTTGTTATATCAGATATCTAGATCTAGCGTTGTTTTAGACTTTGTTTACAACTTTTTGTTTGATTAAATAAGCCAAACAACCAAGAAAAGTAACTCTCCATCAGTGGCTACTAATTTTTCGTGGGATTATTTCCCCTTCTTCCTTACTTTCCTCTGTTCTCCAATCATCGCACAATACCGCAGCAATACATTCCCAATACATCCTCTCATTATTTCAAATGTCTAAGATTATTGGTAGCTTTAGTAAAATGTCCTATAAAGTACACAATGTCATTGTTTCTTATAATTTTGTTATGCCACCCCTGCCATCTGTTATATAGTCATGACATTTTGACATCTGGTACTACGTTGACACATCACACATCTTTCTGATGTTACTTTATGAATAGCCTGTCAAACCATTTTTTAAAATGGAAATTAAAGTTGAATAAAATTCTTTATGTGGCATTATAATAAGTCGAATGGCGACAACTAAAAGGGTTTATCATGAGCTATGTTTCTTTCATTGCTCTCTCGTCTGAGTGGTAGACTACTCATTTTATAAAGATAGAAACTGTTATATAGTACTGTTGCTCTATTTAAAAAGTCCATGAATACCACGTAGGCTTATTAATTTTGTGTGTAGATAAAATGAAGTGTTATGGTTTTTTTAAACTGATAGAACTATATTTAACCAGTAAAGTATAATTCCTAAACAAAAATCAGAAAAAGGGCAATCAGTTGGATTGTCTATCCCTATAAAAGTATATCCTTCCTCCCCCATGTAGGGCCTATAACTGAGTATGTAATTCACTAATCATGAATCATTATTAAAATTAAAGGCTTATTACCATTAGTCAGATTTATAGGCCAACATCATATAATTACTTATGTGAACCAGCAGACAATAGGAGTGCAACCTTAGTTAACATGGTACATACTTAACATACACAATGTTTTTAAGTTGACTAATAGCATTCATCAATAGTTTGCCTACTTTGACTGACCAATCAACACATTAAAAAAAAAAAACAGATTGGAAACAGAAGTGAAAAGAAAAACAGCTTTCTAAATTATTTAATTCTGCAAAAGTTTACTTTTTAGTTTAACAAACAATTGAATGTTGTACACATGAAAATAACAATAAATCAGTTTGTACAAGATATGTCAACATCTTAAAAATACCAAAGTGGTAATCAAATTAAAAACAAACAGAAGGCTAAAAATGATAACTGTGGCTGGCACCTAACACATAGGAAACATTGAGATTACCAGAGTCCAGTAGCGCCTGGACACTTGACCACAAAAATAAACACAAAACAGGAAGTGTCTACAATGCTAACAGGCCAGATTTTTTATTCTTTCTTCAAAGGCAACTTAAGCTTTTTGTTTTTGTGGATATATGGCCTTAAGATTTAAAAGTACTGTTTTTATTCACATTATATTGTGTGATGTTAAGGTGAGAAAAAAATGAGAACAGTAAAGTTTTACTTTATAAAATCTGAAAGACAAAATATTAGCCCTAAGTATACTAGGTTAAAGCGGTGGTTTTTTTCATCATCTACAGTAGCAACTCCACCCATGTCAAGACAAGCCAATCAATTATTCAATGTCAGAGGTCAGTAAAGGTATGTCATGTGTTATTATTACTGGACCAATCTAAGAAACTAAAAACATTTGAACAAATGCATACAAGCTGTGTACATTCAGTTCAATCAACACTTGTATATGGTATCTCAATCACTAACTCTACAAAAGCATATCTGTAATCTTGATAAACAATCTGTTCTCTTTCCAATACATTCTTACATAGTTGATCAACCAAAAGTGATGTCAAGGGGCTCTAATGTTGATGTGTGTAGCCCAAACATTAGCTATTTATACAATGGTTAAGGGCAAGAGACAAAAGTAAGGTACCTACAAACTGAAATGAATGACTTATTTTATTATGTAATTTCAAAGTGAGTCGTATGAAACTTGTTTATACCAAGGGAAAAATAAATGTTAACATTCCACTCAATCTGCGTAATCAATCAAAAATAATTTATAAAACACATACACACACTGCAAATCAGACAATCAACTATTAGTGGAGCCTTGCACAGAATCAGAGAAGCCCATTTGCATAATATGAATACATTGTACATTACATATCTTATTTGTTACATATATATATTTATACATATATATATGTTCATATTTATATACACATTTATAGTAATATGTATAGAACCTAGGACTATAATGATATGGACCTGTGTATACTAGCAGTGAAGCAGAGATATCATTATTCATATCACAATGAGTGTCAGGCAAGTAGACAAGCACTGATAATGTGATGACATGATTGTGGCCTGCTTAAAACTAAATGAATCACCAAAGTGGCTTATATGGAAGAAAAAAATGGCATTTGTATCAATAAGCCCACTGGGATGGTGGGGAGGGGGGTGTTGAGAAGCAGCCATAATCGTGTTGTAAAAACTCCACAATGTCCCACACATTAAAATGGAAACAAGTACAGCTTATTGAGTAAAAAAAATGTACAATGTTGAGAATTTAAATTGCATATGCCTGGTACACAGTAAGTCTTATGGAACTCATAGATGAAGTGTAAAAATGCGTACAGTCTTCTACCTGTGTTTGTAGCAGACACACATAAAATCTTATGTAACAGAGCACCATTACAGTTAACTGTTTTGAGACAGTTTAAAGAGAGAGAAGTGGGGGAAAAAAATATCTTTAATAATGCTATATTTAGAAATTGATAAGGAAGAAGTATTGAAAAACATGACAACAATATTTCTTGCCACAAGATAAAATATCTGCATATTCTTTTTACATATTGCATAATCCTTTAGCTTTAAGTAGGTTTGGTTTTGAAGATGTTTTGTATAAATATTTGGGATCACTGAACTAAAAAAATAATAATTAAATAACTTTAAATTTTTTTGGTCATTTTCAGTGATTGAATTATTAAAGAAATGTATTTTATGTTGGAAGTATTACTATTAGTCAAAATATATGGAGCAAAATTTCAAAAATCTTATACCTTTGTGTTGTATGACATGGTCTGTTTGTTTATTTTTGCTTTTATTCAACAATGACCTTTAACCCCCTGAATGTGATGAGCTTATCTGATCAACAAAAGTTGGCCAATGTGTCATGACCAACTATGATGGCCACAGTTCATAATGACCTAACCTTTAACACCAAATGTTTGGCCAACCTCCTGTCCATGACCAACTATGATGGCCAGAGTTCATAATGACCTAACCTTTAACACTGAATGTTTGGCCAACCTCCTGTCCATGACCAACTATGATGGCCAGAGTTCATAATGACCTAACCTTAAACACTGAATGTTTGGCCAACCTCCTGTCCTTGACCAGATATTTGAATATACCATAATCAGCTGCAGACATGTTGGCAATAGTTCATGTAGCATAGCTTACACACTGGGCAATGTAGCTGTATACAGAAAAATATCATAGCTATACATTCTAGTTCTCATGTACTCCCCGCTACACATTATAAATGTTATTATAAGTCCCTCTCCCCAACACTGTTAAACTACCGAATATATCCGATTTTAACCTTCAAATATTAATTTCCATTCTACATTTCTTAGTAAAATACTATATATATTTTGTGGATCCTCTATTTTGTAAAAAAAAAATATTTAACTGTTTCTTAATGTTATTAAAGACTCCCTGAACATAAAAAAGTTATTTTAAAAATATGGTTTCTTGCATAAAAAAATGAAAACAACTCATTTTTAAATATTGTTAAATCAGTCATTCTCCTTTTACTCATCCTTGCACCATATGTGGAAAATATTTTAAAATAAAGTTGGGAACCTATACCGGAAAATGTTAACACAGCTTGCTTGAAACCAAACCTCGAACAATTGTTTAACAAAAAGTGACATAATAGAATTGCACTGGGATGAAATTCTCCACACTATGATTAAAATCAACTTGTACATTTATTTTCATTACATGCAGTTTAGAAATATTGGAATTTGTATGTACTAAAGCTATAAAATAAAGTAATATAACTCTTTAAGATGAGTTAGGCATATTTTAGCTTTGAATATTCTAAGAAGGCATGAGAATAATTAAATAACTTGTAAAGCTCTAATTTTAATTAAAAATAAATAAAATGTGAAGCAAATTAATTCATTTTTATAAACAAAATTAAAATTAAAGCCTTTCATAATTAGATACAACTTCAAATCATTTAAAGAAAATGATATAATTAATGAATTTAGAATCAAGCCTTAGTTTAGGCGTACAATTATTTTAAAATTAATGGTAATAATTTGATGGATATCTGGACTCCATAAACTAAAAAACAAACTAGCATTACTATTCCCAGCTGTGGAATGACAACACAACTATGTAGCATATGTATTGAGTAGTACAGGGTAAGAGTAATGTAGAATTCCTCACATGCAATCATTGTTGGTACTCCGCACAATTTTTGTTGGGTTTACCTTGCATACAAATTTTTTTAAACTGATTTACATTCAACATTTAAAATATAATTTTTAAAAATTAAGATAGACTCGATGTTTTAAAAAGTAAATAACAATACAGCAAAGAAAATAAGTGTACCCAATTTACTACTTTAACCCAGTTGATAGGCAGGCAGTTGAAAATGTGGAAATCACTAACGGAAATGGCAGCTTAGGTCTGTTCAAGTAGGACAATTTAATAATGCACACACATTCTCAAAGGAAAAATGTATTAAAACTGCTTTTCATGTTTGAGATTACACAACAATATTAATATAAATATTTACTTTAGCCTAGAGAATGAATAAAAAAAAATGCATATATCTGCAAGATAATGAAGCACTTTTCAAAATATCAAAAGTCTGAAATATTTGAAATGGTGTTGAAGTCATCAGCATTCATCAAATCACTAATCTAAAGGCTTACTGTTAATCCTTGACTTGTACATGGATATTTCAAACTGCAGAAAACACAGACTACAAATATGAAAGCCCTAAAATTTGTGGGGATCAGCCTTGTAATTGTAAACAAATATAATTTTTTGAATAAAACTTTTCTCATTTCAAACCGATACATTTTTATAAAAATTTATTTAAATTATAAATAAATGCCTGTTTATATATACTTTTCTTAATGGCTTCTTTTAAAATAATATTCTCAGAAGCTTTTGAATATTTAGTTCATTTTCATTTAAAAACAATACTTTTTTCTTTTTTTATATAATGGTACAGTTGTCAAATGAAATACACAGTATAATTATAGCTAAGCAATATATAAGAAGATACTCATAAAAATGTTGTAAAACTATTGGTAAACAAATTTAGCTAAAATATGAGAAAATGTTTTCAAATAAACAGAAAACAGTGTTGAACCAGTTACAATCAGAATATTGAGAGTTTTTGAGACAAAATATAAATAAATAAAAAATGACAGAACTATGGATATTTCAATTGTTCCTTTAAACACAAAATGGTATGGATCAATAGTGAATTCAGCAGTCTAGAATTAAGGCAGAACCCACTAGTTTAAAAATTCTTTTGTTTTTATATTGTGTAATCCCCAAAAATGAACTTGGAAAAAATGAATGAAACAAAGATTTTGCATGAGGCTATATTTGTTGCATCTGTTCTAATATACTTTGAAGATTCCCTTTTTCCGCTACACTTCTCTGCAAAAAAAAAATGATGTGTTTAGTTGTGGAATGGTAAATTTTGAAAGTTAGTTATATTGAGAATAGAATTATCAAGTTTTTATGCTGTGTATAAAGTATTAAAAACATAAATTATAATTAAACTTTATCAACTAAATTGAAAAAAATTCATATAAATGGATAACTACTTACGAAGATTCTATACTAGCATCATAAAGTATTTGGTGCTTCAGCTGTTTTCTCTTTAAAATTTCTGCTTGTGTCAGTTTAATATTGAGTCCATCCATCGTCATAGCCACAGAAGCTATCCCATCTTGCATGGGACTGACATGCAAACTGTTATTGAACATAGTCACTAAGTCCGGTGTTGACTTAGATTTTGACTTAGGATCTAAATCTGTCAGATCTGTGTCGTCCGTCTCGTTAGAGTCATCTGCGACCCCTACTGAGAATAACTTATGGCGCTCTGTGTGGGTCACAGTTTCGCCAGTTTTACCGGGTAGAAAGCAGAACTCAGTCTCCTCACTAATATCACTGTCGATGTTGAAGTGGAGCGACGCTGACGAGCTGACACCACTGGAGGAGGGGTAACTCTGCACAGAATCTGAACTCACGGCCTTCGATCCTAAATTTCTCGTCTGATCCACATCTGTTCTCCATGAAAGACGTTTATGGATTGTGGAATCCTTTTCTGAAATTTTCATATCCTGAATAGAATCTACAGTGTGGTAGCGTTTCTCTGTCCGAGAGGATCGACGAGCATTGAGTTTTTGCTTGGAGGGATCTTCCTCTCCAGTTATGCTTTGTTCATGTGTATACGTGTCTTTGGCAGTGTACGCTGAGGGGATTAAAGAATCCATGTCCTCAGCAATACAGTTATCACTGTTGCCGTTAAGTTTTGGTTTGTTTGTAGGAGATGAGTTGTTGATGTGGGCTAATCCTACATTTATATTAGGTACAGACCTACAGGTCTGAACTGGTTTGTGCTTGGTGCCGAGGTTCAGGTTGTTAGAGGGACGACTCTCAGATGGGGAGTCATCGGAGTTGGTTAGCTTAGGATCGGTGTTGTTATGTACGAGATCCCTGTGGCCTGGCGCCACACGGGTGTGAATGTCCCCTGTTGACCCAGAGCGACCCAGCTCCACGGCACCGTCATTGTTCATCTCAGGGGTGAGAAGGTTGGGCATGAAGTGGTCAGCAGATTCCATGCTGTCGGAGCGAGGGAACACAGAGGCCTTGAGGTCAAGGTCAGAGGAGACAGAGGTCAAGGAATCCATTTCTTCCTGCGCCTGCGCTGCATCTGCTGCAAGGCGCTTCAGCTCAGCCTGCCCTGAGATTCTTCTGGCTTTGAAATCTTTCTGAAAAGGGAAATTTACAAAACTTACAGTTAATGCAAGAGAAAATTAACACATTTTTACACAGGAAAAGTTATTGCTTTGTTTTTTTAAATTTTTCTACAGAGCAGAGTTTAAAAAAAGATTCTAATATAAACACAAAAACTCATGAACTTTATATATTTAAAAAAAAATGTATAACACTGTTATAATCAGAACATTATGTATCGGAATGTTTTCCCTTGGTTATGCTTAGTTGATAAAAAGATTCTCCCTTATATTTCACAAATGTTACCTATGATTTTGGTCTAAAAAAAAAGACATAACTAAAAGAGAAAAACCTGCAACGTAGAGCATTTCAACAGATACTAATTAGTAGGCTACAGACCTGTGCCTCCCTGAATTTTTCCAGCCAGCCTCTGATGGCCCCAGTCTCACTGTGAAACGTGAATGCTGATATGGGAACGCTGTATTCGTTTATGTAAATCAGCAGAAAACTTCCTTTGTCTTTCAGCTCACTGACCACCAGCTGGTCAAGCCTCATTGGCGGCCGGATTATTTTAAAGCGATCGGCTTTCCTGTTGGGCTTGCAGATCAGTATCAGGTCAGTGAAGAGGAGGCACTCAACGTCCAGCTAACAAATAAAACACAGGTTGTAAATACAAGGTGGTCACTCAATGTCCAGCTAACAAATAAAACACAGGTTGTAAATACAAGGTGGTCAATCTAAAAAGTTTAGGCAAAATAGTAAAACAAACTTAAAAAAATCAGAAACACAATAATAACTTTTTATTTAATTTTTAACTGTTGAGTTTTATTATAGGGCTTCAAGAGGGCTACCAGTTGTAAAATACAAAAATGTTAACTGACACCCTAACCAAAACTTCAATAAAAAATCAACTAAGATTGAATAACAATTGACAATACGCATTGAATGCAACCCGTAGTTGAATGCTAAAATAAACTAAAAAAAAATGTTTATATAAAAATATTTCGCAGGCTAATTGTTGTGACTATGGCTGGCTAAGAGGATAGACTTGGCTCAACTAAAGCTGATACTGATACATTATTTGAATACCTTAGGTGTCTGGGCCTCTTTCATCCGTAAACTGGACTGGAACAGTAAACATCTAGGAAGACCATCAAGAACACCAGGGATTGGGGCCAGTATGTTAAAACTGTTGTTATGCTCCTGCACAAGCTGAAAAACACATCAATTGTCAATGATCACGAGCTTAATTAAACGGTACAGCGAAGTATTATTTTAATAAAATTCTTAATTCTGTAATGCTGTGTGAATTTCTCGCTATCACAACTTAGGTCACATAACTTTTCAGTAACACAGTCATTAGGCTATCTTAGTGTGCTACCATAGCACATTCATTAGACTATTAAAATTATAGCACGTTCATTTGACTACTGTTGAACATTCACAATTTTACTGGAGCACATTCACTAGCTTACCTTAGCACATCCATTCGACTACTGTATAACATTCATTCCATTTTCGGAGCATGTTCATTAGCTAACCATATAACATTCATTAACTTACCACACTACATTCATTATCTTACAATAGCACATTCATGAGCTTACCTTAGCACATTCATGAGCTTACCTTAGCACACTCATGAGCTTACCTTAGCACATTCATGAGCTTACCTTAGCACATTGATGAGCTTACCTTAGCACATTCATGAGCTTACCTTAGCACACTCATGAGCTTACCTTAGCACATTCATGAGCTTACCACAGCACATTCATGAGCTTACCACAGCACATTCATGAGCTTACCTTAGCACACTCATGAGCTTACCTTAGCACATTCATGAGCTTACCACAGCACATTCATGAGCTTACCTTAGCACATTCATGAGCTTACCACAGCACATTCATGAGCTTACCTTAGCACATTCATGAGCTTACCTTAGCACATTCATGAGCTTACCACAGCACATTCATGAGCTTACCTTAGCACATTCATGAGCTTACCTTAGCACATTCTTGAGCTTACCTTAGCACATTCATGAGCCAACCTTAGCTTATTCATGAGCTTACCTTAGCACATTCTTGAGCCTACCTTAGCACATTCATGAGCCTACCTTAGCACATTCATCATTAGGAGTTTCCAGAGAGTCGTAAGGTTCTAATGTTTTTCTAATGGCTTCAAGTTTTTCATAGTCGTCTTTCCTCTGTAGACTGACATTTGCTGCACAACACAGCTTCTCCACTGATTGGATCTGTTAATTAGTTTGTTAATCAAGAATAAAGTTGAAGGAGCCTTTTTTCTATGATTAATATGCTCATGCTGATTTCAAGCTTACACTACAGCTGTGATTTATGTTTGAATAAGAATTTAGATAATAATAAACAGAAGAGGTAGGCTGTATGTATAGATGATGAGTATAGTTGAAAGCATGTACAGATCATAAATTATAGTTAGAACACTAAGAATCTATTTTATATCAACTATAGAAAAAATAATAAGCCGGCACCATTCTTAATAATAGGCTAGAGAATGGGAAAAAAGGCAGTTGTAGATTCATGAGGGCTTTTTGTCACATTGTTATTAAACTTAACCATTCAAATACAATACTGTAATCACTTTTTAACTTAAAAATAAATATTGCAATAAGCTTATATTAAATAGTACAAGCTAAGTAATGTATGATAACTTTATTTACACATTGTGAAATACAAAAATAAATTAAACAAATATACTATTATGTGTTGTAATAAATTTGTGTACATATACTTTATTCTTATATTACTTGTCGTGTATATATCTTAATTAAAATTACAAATCAAACCCTCTTTACATCCTGTTTCTTACCATTTCTTTAATGTCCGCCCTGTCATTCTCATTCTCTGTGTGCTTTAAGATAGCTTGCAGGAGCAGAGAGTACTTGAGGAGCCTCTGCATGGGTTTGACCAGTATATCAGCCAGCTTGAGACGATTGCATTGTTTTTGTGCCTCTGCCCACTAAAGGAAAGAATTGATTGTACAATAGTATAGGCCTACAACTATGTCAGCCAGCTTGAGACGATTGCATTGTTTTTGTGACTCTGCCCACTGAAGGAAAGAATTGATTGTACAATAGTATAGGCCTACAACTATGTCAGCCAGCTTGAGACGATTGCATTGTTTTTGTGCCTCTGCCCACTAAAGGAAAGAATTGATTGTACAATAGTATAGGCCTACAACTATGTCAGCCAGCTTGAGACGATTGCATTGTTTTTGTGCCTCTGCCCACTAAAGGAAAGAATTGATTGTACAATAGTATAGGCCTACAACTATGTCAGCCAGCTTGAGACGATTGCATTGTTTTTGTGCCTCTGCCCACTAAAGGAAAGAATTGATTGTACAATAGTATAGGCCTACAACTATGTCAGCCAGCTTGAGACGATTGCATTGTTTTTGTGCCTCTGCCCACTAAAGGAAAGAATTGATTGTACAATAGTATAGGCCTACACCTAGCTCAGTCAGCTTGGTAGGGCTTACCTAGTATTCTGTCTACTCATAACATCAACATGCAGATCATAATTTTTGGTCAGTTAAAAAAAACCTTGAGTCGGTTGTTCATTGTTAAATTAAAATACTACCACATTCTGTAAACGATTTTCAATTGTCTAACGTAATTAATTTGAATGTTATAATCTCACTCATACATTTTAAATTGTAGTCTAATTTTGTCATTTGGTAATTTATGGCATAATGTTTGTGTTTGCTCTAAAATAGCCCTATCCTAAAATTAATATTATAAATAAGTTTGCAGCAATTCTGGCAACTTACCATGATAAAGGTTTTAAATAAATCACTGTTTTCCATACATTGTTTTGCATAATCAAGACATTTTTTATGTTCTATAAAATACTTGAAGTACACCTGAAACTGTTTCTGAAACTAAAAATAATTTTGTTTCGATTATTAAAAAAGTCAAAGGAAATTACATGATAGGAACTGTAATTTTTACAATTAACTAGATCTACAGCTTCTTACAAAAATAATAGTAAACTTCTTAAGTTTTAGTGATAGGGCTGCTATGATGTTCTCTCTGCCTTTAAATCTTCTAAATATTTACTAAAATTATTAACCAGTAATTAAACAAAATAATCTACTATAATTTAAAAAAAAAAAAAAGAAGGCAAGTTATTAACTCGATTGTGCTTTTCTAAGTTATACAGAATAGTTTTTTTAAAGCATCTCTTGATTAAAATATTGCTTGCAATACACGTACATGATCAACAAATCCTTCTTTCATAATTAATGGGTCTAGTGGCTTGCGAGTCTCTCTGCTGTTGTGAAGTACAGGAAGGAGGTGTTGCTGCCAAAATGTACAGTTGCATTCGAAGATCTCGTGAATATTACTAAACAAATTTTCTGTCTCAATCTGCAGATTAAAAAAAAAAGGCCATATTATGATGATAATCTGATGTAAAATTGTAGGCTACTATCAACAGAATAGTGAGGCTGGACTAAGATGGTTGGAGAGTTGAATTATATTATAGTTAAAGATGCCTGAATGTTAAAACATGGCATTTTAACATGATTTTATGTGGAATATGGAAACCTTTAAAAAATGGTTAGACAAGTGCTCTTTGTCAATCCTTTCCTTTAGTTAGACTTGAGAGTAGAGACTTTAGATTAATTACTATTTACTATTTATTTATAGAATCAACTTGTGGGCAATGAATAAGTAAAAAGTATTTTATTATTATTAAATAATAAATATTATTAATAAAAAATTAATAATAGTGTGATAGGTCAACTGTGTTAAATATAAAATTATAATATTTAAGAAATGAGTTAAAAAGAAAACAAAATCTATCTTATACTGATCTAGATAGATCTTAGAGTTTAGAGTTAAAGTACTAAAAGTAGGCCCTATATATTTCTAGTACTCCCTACCAGTTTCTTTCAGGAATCTCTTCGTTCCAGCCCCCCCCCCCCCCCCCCCCCCCCCCCCCAACGAAATTGAATTTATATATAGAAATTTAGAAATAGACTGAAATAATACTTTTACACTTTTACCAGTGTCCCCCCGATTTTTTTTTTAATTTTTCAAATAGATCTAGATCTAGATCTAGAATTAAAAATTAAATTAAAATAGCCCCACCAACAAACTACCTACAAGATTTAAACTTCAACCCAGAGGAGTTCTTTTGTCACCCGACCACCAACCGACCACCTACCGCGCCCCAACATATAGACGTGATACGCTTTTGGTATAAAATGCGGAGATGTTGTAAGGGTAATTGAATTAGCAGCACCGTTGGATCACAGGATAACATTGCAGAGGAATTTCTACGTCAACCACACAATGCTTTGACACGAACGTGGCCCAGCACAAAATTGTGCAGGAAACTGAACAAAGCGATGGGGCAGTGAAGCGAAGCACATTTTGTTGAAATATTTTTTCTTTTGTTAAATCACGTTTATGAACATTATTCAAGCAAAAAAAAAAAGCATCTTAAGTGTGTGCTTGTGTTTATGCGTGTGTTGTGTGTGTGTGTGTGTGTGTGTGTGTGTGTGTGTAGAAGGGAGCAGACGAAAAAATACTTGCAATAAAACAAATTCTAGACGTAACCATAACCGTATACGTTGCCTTTGCGACGGCATATTCAAGGGCAGTATGACGCGTAGATTGTCCAACCACTTTCTATCGTATAGTCAAGTACCCGTTAGTTAAGTATTAGCCAGATACAGTGTTTCTTTCATACATTTTTCTCTGGTGGTGGACTTAAATTTCCAGGATGGTGTGTGTGTGTAGGGGGGGGGGGGGGAGGGGGGTATGGACACTGGTTAAAGTATACTACATTTTCTATATGAGTTACATATTATTTCTATTTCAAGTGGGGGGCGGTGGACGTACTTACATGGGGAGGGGGTGGTGTTACATTGGACAAGACCGGTACCAAACAGAAGACTTCCATACTGATATCCCAATTTAAAAAAAAAAAAGATTCTTAATCTTATTTCAAAACCATACCTCCTCTTTTTTAAAGTGTACTGTTAGCAACCTATAATGTGTTTATTTATGCAACATACGGGTATATTTTTTTTACGCAGGGCCGATCGATTAATAATTCATTAAATAATTCACCTGTGAAAAAGCATTGAACAAGTCACAGTTGTCGGGTGTAGAACACTGCCTCTTGTTAGTGTATTTAACCGTTAAGTTTAGCCCATTGGCAAGTTAACCAACTGTCAAGTTTAGCCGATTGGCAAGTTAACCAACTGTCAAGTTTAGCCAACGGTCAAGTTTAGCCAATTGGCAAGTTAACCAATTGTCAAGTTTAGCCAACTGTCAAGTGTAGCCAACGGTCAAGTTTAGCCGATTGGCAAGATAAACAACTGACAAGTTTAGCCAACGGTCAAGTTTAGCCGATTGGCAAGTTAACCAATTGTCAAGTTTAGCCGATTGGCAAGATAAACAACTGACAAGTTTAGCCAACGGTCAAGTTTAGCCGATTGGCAAGTTAACCAATTGTCAAGTTTAGCCAACTGTCAAGTGTAGCCAACGGTCAAGTTTAGCCGATTGGCAAGATAAACAACTGTCAAGTTTAGCCAACTGTCAAGTTTAGCCAATTGGCAAGTTAACCAACTATCAAGTTTAGCCAATTGGCAAGTTAACCAACTGTCAAGTTTAGCCAACTGTCAAGTTTAGCCGATTGGCAAGTTAACCAACTGTCAAGTTAAGCCAAGCACGAGCAACAAAGTGCTGGGTGACAGGACAGCTGGGAGGGGTGGGGAGGGTGGAGGGGTGGGGAGGGTAAGGTTGCCTCCAGGTGATGGTTTGAATAAATTTAAATGCGCCTATTAAACCAAAGTAAAAAACAACAACAGCGCAGCCGTAAAATAAAGAAAAATTACGAAATAAAAAAGTTATTAACTTTGTTGTCTCCCCCCCCCCACACACCCTTTCCCAACAAGAACTCACTTTACATAACAGGTGGCCAATCTTCTTGAATAACTTCGTTTCATGATTCTAAAAAGCCGTATACTAACTTTAACCCAACACCATAGCACTAAATTAACCCAAACTAAAGTAACCTAAACAAAAGTAACCCAAACAAAAGTAGCCCAAACGAAAGTAACCCAAACGAAAGTAACCCAAACGAAAGTTACCTAAATTAAAGTAACCCAAGAAAATATTCATTTACCTCAAGCTAAACTGTATCTATACCCTAACCCAACGGAGCCCAACCCAAAAGCTAAAGCCAACCGTAACCAGAAACGGGTTGTTCAACAAGTATCGATATAAAGTACAGCATACGCAATAGGCTGTGCCATAAAATATCCAATTATAACTCGGTACGCCTGCCTACGCAGTTTTATAACACAAACATTTGTGACAATGTGACACGGTCAGGAACCGTAGCGCCGGAAATGGCACACACACAAACACACACGCACATAGACACACACACACACACACACATAGACACACGTGTGAAGTCGTTGAATGGGACCACGGGTAGAACGAGAACAGAGACCCCCCCCACCCCCCTCGCCCCCGTTTCTTAGACTCAAAGAACTTTGGTGCTACTTGAAAACGACTTTAAACTTTAAGCAAATGATTCTTGGAGGTTTCTAGCTTTTTACCTTATGAGGAATGGAACAGAGTAACTGAAGTTGGTCTTTTACCATAAATTTGGTCTTTTGTTATATCATAAACGTGGTCTTTATATCAAAATTAGTCTTTTATTTCATCTTGCATCTGGTCTTTTTCCCCACGTCGATCTTGGTCTTTTCTTTCATCTATTTTTATTTCTTTTCTTAATAATCTAAATCCGCTTTTTCTTTTATTGTAAGCTTAGACTTTTCTATTATACACCATTTTTTTCTTTTATTTCACCCAAGAATTAAGTATTTATTCAATCTCAAATTTAGCATTTTTTTCTTCTTAAAAATGTATTTTTTAATGTTACACTTTGTCGTTTCTTTCATCCTAGTTTTTTCTTTCCTTTTATCATCCAAACGACCAAGTTACAGCGTAATCCTCCCCCCCCCCCTGTTTCACAGTTTGGTGGGTTTTTTTCCGGGTAGGTTTGTTGTGTAAGTGAATACACTTAGTCTAGCCATACAGGAACACACGGGGTATGGCACCCGTCCAAGTGTGCACCAGTAGTCTAGACTTCACAGTAACACGATAATGGCTTTATCCCGCACACACGCTAGTTCTTCTGTTTAGTAATGTGTAACAATGTAATGTGTAACAATGTAATGTGTACAATGTAATATGTAACAATGTAATGTGTAACAATGTAATGTGTAACAATGTAATGTGTAACAATGTAATCAGTGTTTCTTCCAGACTTTTTTCTCCGGGGGGGGGGGGGGGCACTTGAAATTTTCGGGGGGGGGGGGGGGGGGGGAGGGGCGGTAGACTTTCTTCGGTGGGCGGATACTGTTAAAAGTATATATTTTCTATATAAATTATATAAATTTCATTTCATTCGGGGGGGGGGGGGGGGGGCGGTAAGCCTGGAAGAGATGCCTGGAAGAAACTCTGAATGTAATGTGTAACCATGTAATGTGTAGCAATATGATGTTTAACAATGTAATGTGTAACAATGTGATATATAACACAGTACCATGTAGCATAGTAATATGTAACATTGTAATATGCAACAATGTAATGTAAAATCCAATATCTAACAATGCAACTTGTTTTATTGTTTCAACTAAGGATTAATTTCTATTGGAAAAGACAGATCCACCAGAGGGAAGACAGATCCACCAGAGGGAAGACAGATCCACCAGTGGAGGGAGGGCTAGCGTCTGGATTTTGGGTTTGTTAGTAAAATGGTTGCTATGGTTACATTCTTTTAATACTTACATCATTTAACAGTTGCTCCAGCTTAACGTTGAAAAGACAGTTTTGAAAGACCTAAAGAAAGAAAACATGACATCAAGTTAGCTAACCTTTCATTAGTAATTTCAAGCATAAGTATATTTACAGATAAATGAATATGTTATACAGTAATTATTAGACAGCCACATCATTTCAAACAAAAACACCCCATACAACATTTCTTTATCTATCGATATGTATTTGTTGATTCGTGGACATACAGCGGTACTGTAGTTGACTAGCCACTCCAAAGTTACCAAATACAGTTATAAATTTATACTTCCCCCCGGTACTTACATCGATAATGACCCGTATCCCCCCCCCGGTACTTACATCGATAATGACCCGTATTTGCTTGATGTAAGACACTTCCGTTTGTAAGAGCTCCCATACCGCCTCCTGGTGCTCTTGTTGTTTCTTTGTCATGTTCTGTCGAAACAAATCATGGCACTCAGTCAACAACAAACCAAACAAGAAAACACAATTTTTGTTGTAAACAAACAAACCAGTAACTGAAATACGTAATGTGTGTTTGTATGTGTGTGTGTAGGGGAGTGGAGTGGTATCTGATTTATTATTTATTATGTTTAACAATAAAAAAATGGAATTTCGCCCTTTGGTCAACAAAAGATTAATTCAATTTCTTTTATGTAATTCTGTTACTTTTAAGAACGTTCTGCTCTTTGCAACAGCTTTTAAGATGCACTGATAATTAGTGCACCTTTAAATAAATGAGTACATTAATTTTCTTTTTTATTTTCACTACACACAAAATAGACCTCTCCTTGACATTGTTCTAACTTTTAAAATTGCCTTTATTCGACAAGTTGTAGACATTGAGTTTTTTTTTATCAAGAGTTGTAGACCTTGACCTTTTTTTTCCAAGAGTTGTTGGTCCTGGGTTTTGTTACTAGAGTTAATCACCCCAGCCTCCCCTTCCCCATATTTTAGTTAACAACCCGATCCTAAACATCCACATTTTTTGCAAACATTTATTTAACGTTCGCAACGTTTGACTATAACCTACGTAATAAAACAGTGCTGTGTTGTTTGATGAAGTTACCCTACTAATAAAAAGCCTCAGCTATAGAATCTCTTCACTTTGATCGGCAAATTTCTCAGCGTCGTGTTCGCAGCCCATCTTACTGCAAGAGGGGCCGGGGGGGGGGAGGGGGAGTTTTAGATGTGTTCTAAAATGGGACGATCATTGACCAACAAAAAACAGCAACTGGTTTTGGGATCTGGCAGGCAAAACGTTTAAACAGGCTTAAGCCAACAACAACAGCAGAGCTGATCAGCAGACGAAACACTTGTTGGAAATCACATCAAACCGTTACACCACCGGCACGCAAACCAGTTCAACCTAACCAGTTCAACCAAACCAGTTCAACCTAACCAGTTCAACCAAACCAGTTCAACCAAAGCAACCATAGCCTCATTTACAGTAAACGTATTAACACAACTAACTCTAAACTTTACCCCTGGCACTTAGAAAACAAAACAATTTACACTGAACTTAATTTCAGTCAAAGCAGTGCTAATCCTAACGTATCGGTACTTAACATAATAACACGAACTAACCCAAGAACCTAACATCGTAACAAAAGCTAAATAAACCTAAGCTAATCTTAATTAAACTAGTGTCGGACTAACTAATACTAACCATAACCTCTTTAAATACGACTGTTTAAAATAAACTGAGCCTGTACCGAATACCATGCCCCTTTACGTTTCCTCATATCCAAAATCTTGGTTAAAATTAACCCTAACGCTGTTAGGGTAGTTAATCGTAACAAGATTTGTTAACACAGACCCTAACCCTAACTTCATCTAAAAAACACTCCACTTGTATCATCTAATGCAAAAAAAAAACCCTAACCCCCAATTTAACTAAAAAAAAAATACTTGTTAAAGCAAACTAACCCTAATCAACTTTTTAAACTGGCTTAAGCTTGTCAAAACACTAACCTTAACCCCAATTTTTGACTGGATACTTCTTGCTCAAACAAACCCTAACACGTCTCCATTTTAGCTATACAGACCTAAAACTGACTGACCCTAACCCACTATCTCATCTAGACAAAACCTTTCTCAACAGACTAACCCTAACCCATTATATCAACTGGACTAGACCTTCTAAAAATTGACTAACCCTAAACCATTATATCAACTGGACTAGACCTTCTAAAAATTGACTAACCCTAAACCATTATATCAACTGGACTAGACCTTCTATAACAAACTAACCCTAACCCACTATTTCAACTAGATCTAGACAAACCTATCAAAACAGACTAAACCTAACCCCACTACATTAGCTGTACAAGACCTTCTAAAAATAGACTAACCCTAACCAACTATATCAACAGGACAAGACCATCTAAAAATAGACTGACCCTGACCCTTACCTCGTCCCCGTCCACCAGTAGCCTCCAGTTGAGCTCCATGGTCAGAACATTCTCGTCAAACTTGGGCCGGCCCAGGAGGTCGGGGAGGGGTGGGAAGCCATTGGTGCTGTACCGGTTCAAAATCTCCGTCAGTTGGTCTTGTCTCTCGCGGTCCTGGGGAATACACAATCAATTGAACCTCATCAGTGATCGATTGATTGGACGATATCGATTTGTTAACAGATGAGCATGGTAGGGTTGCTGGGATAGGGTGTGTGGAGGGGTGGGTGGGATATGATTAAATGGGCGGGGGGGGGGGGGGAATACCCTGCCTTTTATAACATTTTCCTAATAAAAAACACATTGTAAAAAGAAACATTTATCCCTTCGCCACCGTTAACGAAAAATAAATAAATAAATAAATTAGTAAACTAAGCGAAGACTTGGTTGAAACAAAAAGTCAAATTTGTTTCAACAAAGAGACAACTTTGTAGTAAACATTGAGTCAACTTTGTTGATAGTGAAGACAATGTGAGGGTACGTCCATGACACAACTATATGGAAGCGGATTTGAACTCGCGATTTCGCCCTATAAGCAAATTGACACAAGGACAACAAAATCACGGTTCCGCCCTTGTTGCCCAAATATCTGGTTACGCCTCTGGGTCAAGAGTTGACACGCGTTGAAGTTTCATTACCTTAATACATCCCCTCCCCTTTTCTAAAGTCAGATTATGCAATCAATTAGCCGGTAATAAATTAGCCAATCCAGCTACGCGCTGCGTCGTGTTAATCAAGGAACCTGATTCGAACAGAGGGGTGGGGGTGGGGAGGGGGGGGGTGTAAAGTGTACAGACCAGTTTCCCATGTCGACAGTCTCAAGTGGATCAACTTGTTGCGTAACTTACAGAGTGGGGCGGTACTACTGGCTCCGATATTCCCACGAAAAATAAGCCGTATAACTAGCCTAGCTAACCTTAATCCTAACACAAAGTTGAGAGTATAACTAGCCGAGCTAACCTTAATCCTAACACAAAGTTGAGAGTATAACTAGCCTGGTTAATATTAATCCTAACACAAACTTGAGAGTATCTCACAGACTGATTCCTTTGTATAACGGTAAAACCCAAACCTATACAAACTCGAACTCTAAACCTAAGAAAAATGTGCCCGTTTATGGTAATTTTTCACACCACATCCCCAATGAACCAAACTGTATGGTGATAATTGATAGGGGTGAATGGTTTATTTTGATGTTACACAATAATATAGAGTAGTTTACCATGATATAAAATAAGTCTGTAATCGAAGCGAAGACATAACGCTAGCTTATAGATCTATATTGTATTTAACATATGAACAAATTTTCTGTATGTGGTATTCTACTTTCGAACTTTTTTGTAAGTAGCTTTCAAGATACGAACTATTTTGTATGTGGTATTCAACATACGAACAGCTTTTCTGTATGTGGTATTCAACATACGAACAGCTTTTCTGTATGTGGTATTTCAAACAGCTTTTCTGTATATGATATTCAACATACGAACGTTTCTGTAGGCCGTGCTCAGCATTTAAGGAGACCAAAGCACGTAATGGCAACATTACAACATACAATTGGCCACGGTATGGGCACATACCGTGAAATCACAGTGTGGCCCATACAGTGTAGGTCACATTTCACATATTGCATGGCCTAACACCCATTAATTCACCAGATACATCCAATTATAATTAAATACTAATTTCCATAATGGGATGTTAAATACGTTAAGTAGGCCTATTTTTAAAGACGCGAGATAAGTAAGTATGAAATAAATACATTCATTGTTAAAAAATTTCGTAACCGCTCATGAAATGATTCTTAGAATGGAGTTTTGGGTCGTCAAATAAATTGAGAACCTCTGATTAAATGAGGCAGAAATAAAAGATCTACCAGGAAACGTGGGATAATCCAATCTTGCATACATTCGTTTAACAGACCCGTGCTACGACGGGCGGAAGCTAGTTTTTTTTTTTTAAAGCGCGAAAGTACTTGGGACAGGCGATATAGATCTAGAGTCAGCTAACGTGGATATTCTTCAGACACTTGATTACACAACACTTGTCTGCAGTGTTTCTTCCAGACTTTTTTCTCCGGGGAGGGGGGGGGCAGTTGAAATTTTCGGGGGGGGGGGGGGGGGAACGACTAAAATTTCCGGGAGGTGGGCGGACACTGTTAAAAGTATATATTTTCTATATAAATTCCATTTCGTTCGTGGGGGAGGGGGGAGATGCCTGGAAGAAACTGCTTGTCTGACTCCCAATTTTTTTCCTATACTAGAAAATCTAAGGACGTATTAGAGTCAAATGAGTGTTGTGAGTCTTAGGCAATCAACCATTATTTTGTTACCAATATTTGCCTACACCCCCAGCACTTGCTTAAAAAAACAAACCTTAGGCAAAGCTCTTCAGCCAGGCAATATAACTTCTAGCACCGGCCTAAATACCTAGCACCAGATTATTACAGCAGCACAGCTATTGAAATCTTAACGTTAAAGATTACACGGGTTAAAAATTGTGCATGCACCGCAAGATGACCCTTAGAGGTGAATTATGACATGTGGTTGTGTAGCCCTTCGTACCGGTGCAGTGTCACCGGGCCAACATTGGGTGAACATTTGTGTTTACTCATCATACAGTATATCACTAATATTAACACATGAAAGACCAACTTGAAGTGACTTAAAGAACGTAATCTTTTAAAAAATGTTAAGGCTTAAAGTAAGGTTGTAGAAATGTGGGGAATGATTTGAGGGGGGGGGGGGGGGGGTAAAGCGGAAGCTTGAGCTATTAGATAAGAGTCGACAGATCGTAAAAAAACAAAATTACGAGCTCGCAAATTACAATTTAAAAATCTATTAATAGATGCCCTGATTTCTAGTTATAGTCAGATAAATGCTGCAAGATTAATTCTTGATGTTTTTTTTTTCACGTCAAGTTTGTAAGCTTGAAGGTTGCTTGTGTTGAAAGATAGTTGACGCGAATGAATTCAACTATTTTGTAACACGTAAAGTTTTGTCAGGGGAGGTATTGATGTGGCGTATCATTCACCCGGGGAATCGATATTTAAGTCAGATAAGACGGCGGGTTGTAAATAGAGTTATGACATATTAGATATCGATACTTTCCCGTTTAAACACAGATTAAAAAACAATTTACGCACTGTTGACCCCCCCTCCTCCCCCTCCCCAACATTCAAATATTGGGTCGTATTCCAGACCCATCCTATTTCATTTACCTACCACGGACACCAACCATGACTGACTAACACAAACCCCAACCCCAACCCCAACCCTGGACCCCAACCACGGTTGACTAACACAAACCCCAACCCCAACCATGAACCCCAACCCTCGACCCCAATTACGACTAACACAACCCCAAACCATGAACCCAAACCACAATCCCCGACAGCTAAAAAAAATTGACATTTAACGAAAGTTAATTCTTAATTTAAACACTTTAAAATATGAATACACTTTTCCCATGATCCCAAACACACCCCTCCCCCCTTCGACAAATCCCAGCAAGAAACTTCAACCACGATTCAGTTTCACAGAAACATATAAAAAACGTTTTGTATTTTGTCAGAAGCACATTTAAAAGTGGATCAAAATCGATGCGATTCATCATTGAGGAGGTAAAATAATCCACAAATACCGGTCATGGAGGGTTCATTGGCCAAAGCGATGGCCAGTGGCCAGTATGACTACTGGCCACATGGCGTCCATCGGACTGAGGCCATCGGGTGATAAGTTGAGGCCATATATAGGGAAACATATATTACATTGAAAATTCATTCCTAAACACGACTGAGATAACATTACGTGATGACTCACAAAAAATACTATGGGGTTAGCCGTACCCAATCAATCAGCTGAAAAACCAGTTTAAGAAACAACCTTACAGTAAACAAAACCTAACTAGCCAAAAAAACCTAAGCTAATCCGTAAACCTAGTGCTAACCATATCGGTGTTAGCGATTAGACTGCGATGATAGACCAACAAAATAAACCCCATCAGAACTTAGTGGTGTTAATTAATGCAGCCACAACAATTAAGCTAATTAATGACGATAAGGCTGGGGGTAATCACCTCAAAGCTGCCCAGCGAGTAATGTTGTAGGTGAGCTCTCCTGAACACGCCGCTCGTGCTCCGTGGTCGCTCACTGACCACGTTGAAGGAATGGTGCCGGAAAACCGTTTTGTTCATGGCGGCCTTGTGACGTAATCAAGCCGTCAAATTCCGGAGTTCACTGAACATCCTATAGTCCTGCGGTGGCTCGGATTGAGAAGGCACTGTATTGTTTTTATCCATAAGTCACAGCTTTCAATTTCAATCACAGTCAACGATTAGGTATTGAATTTTAGTTGAAACATTTCATACACTAAGGATGTGTGTAAAAATCAAGATAATTACGGTAATTAACTAATAAATTATGACCGTAGCGTAACACAACTAATAATGGTATTTTAATGTGATTTGATTGGCTGACATATTTAAAGTCTAAATAGTCTGGCTAGATTAAACGTATAATCCAGATATTTATTTATTTATAATATTTACCTATTTAGATTTTGCTCTGTTTTTCTATATTCTAAATATTTTGCTAGACTACATGTCTTACTATAATCTAAAAACTTTGTTTACCTATTTACCTCTAATATAAATATTTTGTTTACCTATTTACCTTTAAAATATATTTTTGTTTACATATTTACCTATAATATATATTTTTGTTTACCTATTTACCTATAATATATTTTTTGTTTAACTATTTACTTACAATCTAAACCGTTAGACTACTTACGATATAGATATTTATTATACTTGTAAGTCTAGGCTACTTTTCTCTCTACAATTTAAATCACTTTAACGTTCTACATAACACACAGTATGAAAATTGTGTCGATCCTTCACGGAATGTACGAAGCCCATTGTATCCAAAATATCGAATCAGTAATTAATCCACCGCATTCCTACACCAGTCTCACGAACTGAAATCTTTTTCTCACATCCTGTTTAAAAAAATCCACCATTTCACTACATGCCACTTCAGAGAGTGAGAGAAAAAAGAAAATATGTCGGGAAGTTTTTTATCTTGTAGTGATTTGAGCGACTGCTCCGCTCTTCAG